AATTTTTTTTTTTTTTTTTTTTTTTTTTTTTTTTTTTTAACTTTTTTATTTTCTATAAAATTTTTTCTAAATATTTTATTTTGTGCAGAAGGTATCATAAATATTCCTTATGATGATTTTATGGTATAACATAAGGAAAATTTTTCTAGTTTCTTCACATTTGAGTTTCAAATAGTTTGTTGTTTCAAGATTAGGTAACAATTTGAAAATGGAAGATTGAAATTCTTTGGAAATATCTGGTTGAATAAAGAAAAGTGAATTTAATAATTTTAAGTGATTTTTTCTGTTAATACAGATTTTATGATCTTGGGAATAATTGATCTTGAACTTTCTTATAAATTAGTTAAAAAACAATCTGGTATACAGTGAATAATAACTCACAATTACATTGGCATAAATAGTATGTTAATATTTCATCTTTCAAAGTACAAAGTATATCAAATATGCTACAGATATGAATACACCACTACTGTTTCAAAATCACAGTTCAATTGAAACAAAAGATAATTAAGATAGCATAACAATAAATCATCTTTATTATGAACTGAAATTTCGTTTCATTATTTATATTAAGCATGAACAATGCACACATGCTTATTCATCTGATACCAAAGCAGTTCAGAGATCATTTTATCATTTTATACTATGCTTATTTGTTTAGGTGATTACTATTTAAATAAGTGATAATAATATAATATGATCTGTCAAGTGATACAGTAAAGATAAATTTTGTTCAGAAGTATTATAATTTTCTCACATCTTAAATTAAGTTAACTAACTTAACTTAATTAACTAAAGTTAAAAATAAGTAAAAAAAAAAGACAAAAAGAAAAAAATAAGTGATTTCACAGAGTGCAAATAGCTAGCAAGGATGATGGTAAAAGCTTACAATGATAAAGATAACGATCACAGACGCCGAAGAAGCGAATCTAGTTCACAAGACTCTAATAATCTCATGTGATCAAGATCTCTTCTTATCGAGGTACTTATCACGATAAACGTTTGGTTACTTCTCAGAACATCATTAATAACGTTTCACGACGTTTCTCCTCTAAATCTAAAGCATTATAATTCACCAGTGAACCAAAACATACAAAATAATTTGATACAAAAACTAAACAAATTTTCTTTGAAATGTTAATTTTTAATTTTATATATGCTTTATTTGCGGTATATTAAGGTAAATCTCAACAAATTTAATCTATTGAAACAATAAAATTACAGATTGTACATTCTCCTTATGTGTTTACAATATTTCAGATTGATCTCATGGTTTAGGTAGCATAATACAGCCAAAATGAAAGTTTAGACAAGTGCACAGTCCCACATGAGTTCTGTCAGAGTTAGAGAGTAACCAATTGAGTGTAGAAACTCTAGTAGAGTTTGATCAGAGTCAAAGTCTGAAATCCGAATTCAATGCTTATAGAGTTTTACAGTATTATCTTGATTAACAATGTAAGTTTTTCAAATTCAATTTTGCCAATTGATTATTTCACTATTTTTCTTATATTTATATTATTACAGTATTTTTTACTATTTCTTTTGTAATTTCCAACAACGTGCTTAGCCCTTTTTAATCTTATTTACTGTTGTAACAATAATCAATTACCTATTTTTCAACATTCAAAATTGGTCATAGTAAGTAGCACCTCTCTTATATTCTAATACTTAAAAATTAATTGAATATTAGAATTTTTTAAGACAATAATTAAATAATAACTAGTTTAAGAAATTAATATTTTTAAATAATCAATTATTCACATCTTCTTAATTACAAATTTTGCATTGAAGCTTAACATCGAAGAAATCTTAAATAATATGCTTATGTACTAAATAACAAATAATTCTTTTGAAAATAAAGAAAGACTGGAGGATTTGCTACTAGCTGACCGGCGACGCCTCGTGCAACTGGTGTGATCGACAAATCACGAGTGTAAGTAGGTTGTACACGGTCAAGGTCAGATTTCTACAAAGCAATGAACATACCTCGATAAAGTGGAAAACGTATGCACATTTTTCGTCTAAACAAATTACATTACTCAACTAATTTATAAAATCTATTTAAAATTTAATTAAACTATTCTTGTTTCAAACAATTTATCAAGATTTAATTTTTATGAACTTCTTTGAGTGATTTTTTCTTTTTACTATACAATTGTAGAACAATTATAGAATAATTGTAATATTGTAGATGTTCACAGATATACTATGATTTGTATGTCTTTTAAAGAAAGGTAGTTCAAAAATACAGTGGCTTAATATTTGGCAAGCTGAACAAGAAAAGCTTAGTCATTGCAAGGAATTATACTGTGGAAACTGAGGAAACTGTATAAATTAAAATAATTTATAATAGTATACATGTAGTTCCTAAATTGAAATAATCAGCTAAAATAACAGATAAACTTGGTTACCAATTTTTTGCAATACATCAGGTTATATTAATTGGAATGCAATGTATCATAATGTAAGCAACGATGAAGCAAATATTCCTTCCCTCTGCTGAGTTATTTCTAACCTCCTTCACTATAAAGTACAATAGTAAAACTAAAATTATCTACTTCTGCCAACAATCTAGTAGTGTGGGTGTTTGACGAATCCCTAGAAATCTTTATATTTACACTAATATTTTATTTTTGTACTATGGCAAAGGAAGACAAATTTTCAATACGTATATTACAAATAATATATTTCCTGACTCACTAACTAAAATACAAAGGAGCAGTTACGTACACTACACTTTCATTTGGAATAAATAATCAATTAAGAACATAATTACTGAATATATACATTTATGTTAATACTAAAACTACCTACTTCTAATATATATCTAAATGTAACATATATAATCTCTAATTCCTGGCTCAATAAAAACAAATAAAAACTTCAGTAACTGAGTAAATAAAAAACCTGAAATCAATCATTTTAACTCATTTGATGATTCTATTATTAATTGCATATATAAATCCTAAATATAAATTCTATCCAATCAATTCCACTACGCATAACATCATCCAATTCTCTTCAACGGTAAACAAAGTGTTCCTACACTTACATAACCTCTTTCAAAACGCTTCTCTTCCTCATAAATTATTATCATCGCTAGCATTTCGGGAAATAATACACAAATCACGTACGACTTCCAACGCAAGAAAGACAATTCATATCGATTACAATTGCACGTGTTTCACACAATGCCCGATCGAATTGTCTTTCCTTTCTAACGGTGTAGCACGAGGTTCGTGCAAAGGCTATGAGGCGACTGGAACTTGCAATATTATCGCAAATCGCGGTAATCTTTTTCAGCCGCAAAACCGCGATCAATATCGCGCGTCCCAGGAGAAATGCTACCTTTTGCCGGAAACTACGGAATCCGTCGGCGGAAGAAAATGGGTGGGGGGAGGCAAAACGAAAAAAGCGCGCGAAAAGGACGAGAAAAAGGATCGCTAATAAAATTGTGCCCCGCTGAGATTCTTTCGTATCTCTGACTGAACGAGGCGATAAAAGATATGATTTACCTTGTAAGTAACGTGTATACGATTTTATGTTTAAACTTCTTTATCTTTTTCATCTTTCTTTTCGTCTCCTTTTCTTCTTTTTTCTTAAGAAACTTATCAATTTTTATTTTTTGTAGGTTCGGGGGTTCATGGATATCGTAGAGCGAATGTCATTTGTATTGATATAATAACAATGTTTATCCTTGACGTGTAACTATGTCTGGAATTTTCTGTCCTTTTTTATTATAATGGTGAAACGATGCTTGACTTTCGCCTTTCATTTTAAGCAATTTCGTTCCGTAATATTATCTACCTGATAGATACGATGAACTTTGGAAAATTGATGCTATTAATTCCCATAACGTGAGGTTCTTTAGCAGCCATCTTAAAAATATTTTTTGGTATTTTTAAATTTCTATAAAAATTTTCTGACATCTTGTTTGGGAACATTTAAGTAAGTGCATATTTAAAAAAATGGACTGATCACTTGAAACTGATATTTGTTTTCTTTAAAGAGTACGACTGAATATTATTGCGTTGAATACCTGGACCAAATAATTATACAGGGCTTCCGTTGTCGGTTGCACTAGTATTCTTGAAGTATTCTTAACTCTTGTACGAAACTGTAGGTAGAGAAATATAATCTAAATTAGGTGGTCAATAGCAACTGAAGAATAGAGAAAATAGTTCACGAATGGTGGATGAATGGGTAGTAGTGAGAAATGCCGAAGAGATGGGAAACGACGAAAAGTGGAAACAAGAAAAAAAGCATTACCAGCACATTATACTGACCCATAGACATTGTTTTGCATTTCTATCCGTATAGTACAATTTTTCAACAATCAATGTATTCACTATATACTTGCGTTTATGAAAGAAATATTATCACCATCCTATCTTTATATGATTAATTAGAATTATCCTTTTTCACTGATCGAATACTGTAACAATTATACGATAATGAACTATTACATTTAATATTTGCAATCCTAACAAACCTCAATTTCATTTAAAATTAAACTACGTTTGCAGTAATAATAGTGTATTATAACAACAACAAAAATGGTATATTATGGATTATTATTGGATGTAATGTAAACGGTATTGAATGTTAATATTATGCAATAATCCTAATATGGAAGATTATCTGCATCATTTAGTGATTAAAGTTACATCACATGGTGGGTAATTATGTTTGTGCAAGCTTACTCGTGTATATGTCTAGCACAGTTGCAAGTTCCAACAGTTCTCTTTCTTTTTAGTACACTTGTAAGATCCAACAGGAAGATCAGATAATGGCTCACAGCTGTCAGTGTAAGAAAATAGGTAAAGCCGTGTTGAGATAATAATTCTTGGCAATAATTGAGGACACT